CTCGCCTGCTTCTGATCGTCTGCACCCTTTCCTCGAAAGGGTGAGACCTTTCTAAGCCAAGGTGACCCTTAAAGACACATGGTACGCTCAAACACATTGAGGGTGTATGAGACTAACAGCCCCCCAGCTGTCGATGTGTCGTGGTTTCCCCGCCTGAAACTGCACGGGGGTCCGAGTACGGGACCGTGGGAAAGGCTTATTCCTTGCTACACCGCCCAAAATGCAACTTGCGCGCGGTGAATTTTGGGCGGTGTAGCAAGGAATAAGCCTTTCCCACGGTCCCGTACTCGCCGCCGCCCGTGGCAGTTTCGGGGCAAGGGAAACCAACGACACATCGAACAGGCCTGGGGACTGTTAGTCTCATACCCGCCTTAATGTGTTTGAAGCGGTACAATGTGTCTTAAGCAGTTCATCGCGCTTCCCTTCATAAGAGAAAGTCTAGCCGCTCAATCTCTTAGAACCCAGCTTTCCCGCAGTCAAGTAAGTAACGAAGGCGCTGTGGCTGTCATAAGTAGCAGTTCTAACTACTTCCTAGTTGTCCCGCACACGGAACTCAAAGGCTATTTTCTGAAATCAGTTAGTTTTTAGTTTTTTTTCCCTCTACTGTTAGATGGTATTAGCTCTGGGTGATGCGAATGAACGATTAAGGATCCAGAGGTGGCAGGATGTAGCTCTCCTGGCATGAAATGAGAAGGCCCGGATAACTCAGGTCCAGAGCGACTCTCCAGAGCGTCTGTCGGGTCCAGCGTGTTCTCCGGATAACTCGTCCAGAGCGGCTGCCAGATCTAACGTGTTCTCACGATTTTTTTTTGCTTTTTTCTCCCTTGATGAGTCATCCAGCAACTATAAGTTAGACTGAACCCCACCAGCTACAACAGACAGTCACCGGGTTTGTCTTCAAAACGTACCTGCTCCAGGCGTCTGTTGTCTTCAGTTAGCTTCTCAACCACCTTCTCAAGCTCTTTGAGTCTTGTTTCGGCCTGCAAACAAACTTGTATCAACGTTACAACTAGACTATCGGGTTTCATAGAAAACAGTGCTTACCATGTTGTCCGCAGTAAGAGTGGTTTCCGGGGTCAGCATTTGCACTCTGTAAATGGAATGAACACCTTTTTGCACAATCACTTACTCAACAAATGACGCGAAACCTCACCCGTCTGTTAGGGCTGCTCTTAGATTGGGGACCTCAGCAGTAGCGACTGGCTCTAGAAGCGCCTTCAGCTGGTCCCTTTCCCTAATCAATGTGAACACCTTCTGCCGATAATTCGCTTCTATTTCGTCGAACTCATCACAAAGCTAAAATCAGATTCAGAAAAGGACTAACAGTAGAAAACAACCGTTGACACTCACATCTCCCAAACGATCGATTTCCTTCGATTGCAGTTCATTTACTCGTTTCAGCTCTTTTAGCTCGGCCTCGACAGCTTTAGAATTCTGCAAAAAAAAATTCGTTGGAAACCACTCCCGCATCAAAGACAGCGACGACCTTACCAGGGAAGTCCGCCAACTTACCATGGAACTTTGAATGGAGACCTGGGTAGATCGATAGAGTCTATAAGGTTATTTACAAATATAGATAGCAAAACTGCAACCTGCATTTCACAAGCAACTTATGAGCAGGTAAAGTTTGTAATGGTGCAGTAGGGTGGAGGCTTGGTGGTGAGCTGTGAAGCATAAGCGAGGAATCGCATACGTCGAATCGAGTCGTCGAACGTCGAACCTTACCACTGAACCACCGCGACTCGTTTCGACGTATGCGATTCCTCGCTTATGCTTCACAGCTCA